GTTATTAGCATGACGTCATGCAGCTAGCCTAACCTGTCTGGTGTTCAGCTAGTGGAGAAGCTTCATGTACTGCTTCCCTTTCCCGCTAGTCTGCTGTCTGATTGTGAGGTCAGGCTGATCTGATATCAGCTCTTTGGCCTGAAGGGTCTCCTCAAAGTTCTCCTCTCAAACGGGTCTTGGGGTACATCCCAAGTCTCTTATTTGTCATTTCCAACTTCTGGTTCCGGAAGTTGAAACCGGTTCAACCGGAAATCGAGGAAATGACAAATAGGCCCAATCCCAATGTCCCCCTTAGCTACGTCCCAATTCAGGGTCTGCATCCTTCGGCGGCTGCATTCGTAGACCGGTTGCATCACAGCGCTGCGACGAGGCTGTCCCATTTCGCATGTTTGTTGAAGACTCCTTCGAATGCAGCCTTCTGCCCCCAGATTTTGGAGGACACATCTGATGGATCCTTCGCGGCCCACCATATCCCAAGATGCATTGCGTGCCGCAGACTCACGGACTTTGAGGCACACTCCCGCGAAGTCCGTGAGGGTTTAGTTCTGTCCCACTGTCAAATCGTCAAGTGTTTGAGGCTCTCTCGCAGACATTTTGAGCCCTTTATGAACCCTTTCCATAAGTCAGCATGGTATGCTGACTTAGCCTAAGAGAATTACCCACAAATCATTGCAATGTGACGTTAAACACGGGGTAACCAGTGGACGCATGGAGACGTAAAAAAAAAAAAAGGTAAACAAAGAGGACGGATCACGGACGGATGTGTTCAGCCTCTCATATTACATTTACTCAGAAACATTAAGGTTTAAAAATGGAACAGAAAATAAACATGAAATCAGAAGATATTTATTTATTTATTCATCAAGTATTTGATTTTGTCATTGAAGCTGTTTTGACAAAACGAGTAAATAGATTATCTGAAGTTACCTCATCTAGTGAGGAAAGAGCCTGAAGACGTTCACATCAGGGAGTACAAAGAATAAAATAAATACACACAATTGTACATCATATCTTTTGTTGTTGTCATGGTAACGTGATATGTTGCAGCAACGTGCTGTCCCATTCCTATTCACACCATCTCAAGCCCTCACAGTCTCTCACAATCACCCACTCACCAGGTGACGTCAGTAAGTCCTTGAGGGTTCAGGGTCTGAGGGTTTAGGGAGGACATTGGGATTTGGCCATAAATAAATTGTCATTTCCTCATTTCCTTGCTCCTCAACAACTTCCGGTTCAAGTGAGGATCATTTCCTCAAACCTCGCTCGAACCGGAAGTTGTTCTGCGCCGCCATATTGACGGCCATCCCAAAGCTCTTGTTTCTGCTCTGAGGAGCCATGAGAGGAGGACCCACGAGAACAGACTTCCAGGAAGTGTTTTAACGGCCGACACGCCCCCTCATTGTTCATCAGTCATGTGATTGGACGCTGCAGCCGATCGGACTGATGAGATGTTGTTCAACATGTAAACAGTGAAGACGGATCACAGATTAAACTCTAGTTTATATTTGATTCGTTTTCTGATTCAACATCTGGTTTAAATAAATGTTCATTGTAGACTGAACAACAAAAGAACCACAAACAACTTTCTTCATTTATTGGAAAGATTTGTGTTTTCATGATCTGATGTTTCCCTCAATAACTTTTATTATGGAAACAATTAAAGTCAGAGAGAGCTGAAGAGACTAAACCCCCTGCTTGGGGCAGAATCGATTCTACCCCAAGCTGAATCTATTTGAGGGCGCTGATTGGCTAAATTCTATGTCACACATTTATATCTTTAATCACCAATTGGCTAAACTGCTTCATAGACCCGCCTCTTTTGGGCAGTTTCTCCAGCGCTCCAGAGCTGCTGACGTGCACACGCGGAGAGGACGTGCAGGAACAGCATATATTTACCGCAGATATCATATTTTACACATATTACTGGTGATTCCATATTTCAAAAACACAAATATTGACAATTTGTACAGTTTATTATTATTATTTTTAATTAAATTTTATTTGTTGTGGCTCAAGGTGGGGCGGCGCCCTAGCGCCCTCTATTGACCAGCCGCCGCTGCATTTATATAGAGTATTTCAGTAGAAAAATATTCAAATTATAATTTATGTAATTATACTGAACATAATTACAAAACATGGTAGAAAATAATATAATAGAAACCTTTTTGTAATAGCATAGAAACGTATTATTAGTAATTAATTCAACAGAAATTAAACGTTTAGACGTTTATATTTGTAAAGACTTGTTATTTAAAATAAAAAGTATTTATAGAACAAGTGGCCAGATGGTAAACACTAAACTGAAAGAACTTTGCATGCTTTTATTTATTTATTCTTCATTTATTTAAATGTTTATTTACTTATTAATTCATTTATTCATCCATTCATGATGCACCACATTAGAGGGGATGAAACACTTCAGACAGATGTAGGTTTCATTAAGAGAGAACAGGTGTACAGTCTTTGTGTTGCCGTGATGTTCCTAAAAAGTTGTGAGGATGAATCGGTTTTAAACCGAGAAATAAGCCTCCGCTATGTAACTGACAGATGAAAGTTTCATCCAATAAACCGGCTTGACAGTGAGGTAAACATGTTTATTTACATTTCAGATAAATATTAGACATTAACACAATGTACTGTAAGGTAAAAAGTACCCGTGTTGCTGTACTCGTGTGGTTGGCTTCAGTTCAAACACTTTAAATTCCCAAAGCGATGAAGAGAGAAGGTGTGATCATGTGACAAACTGTACGGATTTAACTTTGAAGGAAACAGGAAGAAAAAACAAGTTCTGAACTGACCTCAGCACTGATTACAGCATCAGCACTCTCCTCCCACAATACATTAAATATTACAATTAGAAAATCTTAATTATTAACACATTGGAAATGTGGATACAACGTTATTCTGTTATTGGGTTGTACAATATGACATACGTTTAGATTTAGGGAAGGTCCAGCCTTCAGGCTCCAGACATGAACACGTGTCTCACACACTAAGACATGAACACGTGTCTCACGCACTGAGACATGAACACGTGTCTCACGCACTGAGACATGAACACGTGTCTAACGCACTGAGACATGAACACGTGTCTCACGCACTGAGACATGAACACGTGTCTCACGCACTGAGACATGAACACGTGTCTAACGCACTGAGGCTCAGCCTCGTCTTCACCAAATCAGAAAACTACTTCCTGTTCTGTTTCCATAGAACAAAAGCAACAAGATTCTGGCACAGCGCTGCATATTTACACTTATATATATCTTCCATTCGCAATTTTGGTTCATAACGACAGGACAAAGTTTATTTCTGACACGTTAACGTCCTCGGTTAAGAATATAGATACTGGAAGAGGACGGCAAATGAGAACACAAGGAGTTTGTGACAAAACAAATCAGATGTGAAGACTGTGAATTCTGCAGCTTCTCGGTTTTGCGTCGTTTGTCCATCGAGTGGTTTCTTTCCGGGGTCAGCGCTGTCTGACGGGCGGCTCCAGCCTGTTGGACAAAGCGGTCAGAACCTGGTCGAACTTGGCGTATCGCAGAGCCTGGCTCTCCTCGGCTCCCCTGCTCCCCCACAGCAGCCTCATCTGGAAGTCGGTCAGGAAGAGCTCCAGGACCTCCGGCTGCTCCTGGAAACCTGCAGCATCAACGTCAACAACACCACTGGATCAGCAGCAGAACGGGCTTATAATAGTTTAGAGATTGAGACCATAAACTCATGTTTACAATGTTTACTGAGGTAATACATCAAGAGAGAAGTAGAGTCATTTTCTCATAGACTTCTATACAACCAGAGGTAAAAACTTGGATATTCTCTAACTTTATTCACGTGTCTCTCCCACCACTGGGGGGCACCAAAGTCTGAAAGTTTAAAACCTAGAAGTATGTATTTAATGCAGGTACAACGTCCCTCATCAACACCACACAGTCTCCTTTACCTTGTAGTTTGGTCTCTGCGTTGGAGTGGTAGATGCCCCCCAGCTGAGCGATGGTCCTCGCCGCCCCCAGGTGGAACATGACCACGTCCACCCCGACCTCGGCCGACTCCCATGGCTCCGCCCCGTCACTCACCGCCATGCTCTTCTCCAGCAGGGACAGGAGGGGCAGGACGTGGGGGAAGGTGGTGTTGGACAGCGGACAGCTCTCTGGAGGACGGACACGCAGAGACGGTCAGTGTCTTCAGTTTAAACGGAGGTTTGTTGGTCTGTAAATCGGACACGTACCTCTGCCGTCGTTCAGGCTCTTCATAAACGGCCTCAGGGTTTTCTCGTAGAGAATGGCGCCATCTGTGTGTCGCTGCCGTAACGCCGTCCAGGTGTGCTCCAGACGGGACACCTGAGAGACAGAAAGACATCAGCATTAAAACCTGGCACATTAAAACTCTTCCACATGGAACCTGTGATTTGTTTATGTTTGTGACATTACAGGTGAATGAGTAAAAAATACTAATATATGATATTTGATTACTTACACTACGTCCACTTTTTTGTACTACAAGTTTTCTGAAATTGTGTGTTTAATATGAAAATGAGGCATTATCTAATCGAATATCTGCTAATTTTCATACGTTTCCAGAACATAAATCTGAACATTGGATAAAGCCAGGTTCTAAATTCTTGTTTCATGTTGTTGACATACTACAGTCAAAGGTTTTAATAAAAGGGATTCATGATATCTGTTTGTGTCACTTCATAAATCAGAAAATACTGTCAACAGACATAAAATCTCTCCATGTTTTTAGTAAATAAATGTATAAATGAGTCTGTGAATGATGAACAAACCCCTCTGTGTGAACCTTCAGCACACAGAGAGGAATGAA